ACAGGAGACTGCCAAGAGGCAGACAGATTAACACTTTCCCAAAGCCTTGGGACCATGCAGCCACACTCTGACTCCCCTCATACTAAATCAGTCTCCAGGGTGTTGGCTAATACTGGGGACCACAAACTGCCTCCTCTTTCATCTCTAGCTGGAAGATTTACCACTGTGGGTATCCAGCACAGGAGCAGACCTGCACGGTGGCACTGACAAGGTTTGCCACCACCTGAGAATTGCTCTTGACAGCAGTTGGCCTAGTGCAGTTTATTTAGCATCTCCAGCATTGTTTAAAATAAGCACATACGCAGATGAAATTATCCCCTTTCCATAAGACATTTAAGAAAAAAAAAAAAAAAAATTGTATCTATGCTTTGTGAAAGAGGGCGGGTTTTACCAACTCTCTAAAGTGGAAGTATTCCACAGAGACAAAATTATGTGGGAAAAAGGAATCAATTTTTACTAACCTCTCTTCCACTGTCATGCTACTTTGTAATTTTCAGAGCAACCTCTGTTTTCAGACACATTCTCAAGAGTCATGGGAATTGTCAGTGTAAGTATATTTAGCCATGTCCCTTTGGGTAGGTGGGGGAGGAAAGAGACCCCTAAATAGCTATAAGATAACAATTACAGCAAGCATATTTGCTTAGAGAAAGTTTAGTCAGAGTTCAGAGAAAAGACAAGTCTTTGGCAGCTGGATGGCCAATGGCCAGCTTCTTCTCAAGCTGTCCCTACAAACCTTTACTCAGCGAGGAGCATGCTTAGAAGAGAAACCCCTCAGCTTTCCTTAGGTCTTTGCCAGTCTTCTCCACGAGCTCTAAGCACTCCTCAGTGTAAAAGAAGTGCTTAAAGAAGTGGTGAATTATCTAGAATGCTCCCCCCTCTTTATCCAAAAAAAAAGTCAAATCCAAGCCCTGCACAATAGAAAGTGTCCCACTATTCACAATATTGCAACAGAATCAAAAAAGTTCACAGCACTTTAACAGACGAGTGAAAATGTCCTGGCTTTCATTCAACTGCCATGTTAGTGGGAGTGCGGAAAAGCCTACTCGCGGCTGCAGGAGAAAACTGTGGGACTCGGGCTGGAAAAGTAGCAGGGGGAGGATGTGAACACTGTTAAAAATAAAACTTATCAGAGGACAATTGAGTCGTGAGAATGTTATCTGGTTCAACAGGAGTGTGAAAACAAATAGGCATTTCAAGAAGAGGGTCACTAGCAAGGTAAATATCTTCAGAATAGCAGGAAGTGACCAAGGGAACGTGCCAAGCTGATGGCAACAAACAGAGCTCTCCCCGACAGCAGACAGCCACCAGATTACGGTGTCACCTCTGTGCGGTGCCACCATCCTTCATCCAGCTGTGAGACACTGCACCCACCTGCCGCAACCCTGGCCACGGTAAGACACGAGACTGAAAAGATTTGCACAGGACAACGTTTAACATGACCCAGTGTTTATTGACTCCTGCCACGTTTTATTTTTATTTTTTTTAACAGTAACAGGAACACAAAATGTGATGTATGATACTACTAGGGGTTTCTAGATCAATCTGATGCAAAGTGCCAGCATTGTTGACCAGCATACAACCTGACAAGAGAAGATGTAGTCATAACTCAGTCTCAGATATCAGCTGGGAGTACAGCACAGTCAAAGTAGAACTAGTTATTTGCCTGCAAATAGACACATTTTCTTCTAGATGCAAGTGGTGTTAGAGCCAGCTATTTTGCAACAACAACAAATACATATAATATATTCCAACAATTTAAAAAATGTAATAGGAAAGGACTAAAACTGTTCAAAGAGAGAAGGAAAAAAGAGTGGATCTTTTTAGACACTACTTTGCAGAGGCCATTCCTCATAGAACCAGAAGTAATCTAGTGAAAATAAGATTTATTAGCGGCTACTTTGCTCAAAAGGCCAGTGGTTACAGGTTTAAGAATAAAAATATTCTCTTGATTTTCAGTTCTGTCACCTGGCCTTTTTCCTCCCTGCATAAAAACAACCCACCTGTCAGAAATTGTGGCTTGGTGGTTCTGCATATTTTTCCAATGCAAGTGCATTTGGAAAGGCAACCATATTTCTTAAAGACCCATAGAAAAACTTCCATGACACGCACATGTAGCATGTAACATCCTCACAGATATGAATGATGAAGGCACATTACCTAAAGATTGAAAAGACCCAATAAAACTTTTGGAGGACTGAAAATTAAATGCCTTAGAGAAAGAAAACACTCTTTTTCACAAATGGGTGACAAGTGCTGTTTAACCATAGGTGTTTCAAACAGTTTGCCATGAAGAGAAAGCACAAGGAAAGAGTCTCCTTGAAATGCCGTTCCCACTGCAGCAGACTGCTTCTCCCACAGTTCTTCAGACAATTTCATTCTTGCAGAGCAGTTTGCAACAATTCCAGAGACAGGCAAGAGAGATCTGCATAGAAGACATAAAGCCTGTGGATTCCTACATGACCAACACCCCACCTGCACCCCCAATTAAACTACAGCATCTCCAGGGACATCATCCCACTGATCTGGAAACAGGGTAAAGGTCTGGTAGAGAGGACTGAGGAATTGGTTTCAAAATCCTTTGCCCTCAACTGTTTTGTACTTAGTTATATGTGTTAATAAAGAAAAATATAATGCTCTCTGCCACAGAATAATTGCTCTCTCCACTATCTAGATCAAGAAGATATTGGCTAAAAATGAAAATATGTACTTTATTTACAATAAATGCATCTGTACTGCTCCGTGCTCCATCCAACTCACACACATTGCCGACCACTGCTGAAGCCCGGTGGTAGCAATAGTGGTAACTGAAGTACCTTTCTTTTTCAACCTTTATACAAAGCCTTTCCCCTCCCACCCTATCGGTTTTCCACTGTTCTAGGCTCCTGTGAGATGTGTACTAACACCTCTTTCTAGTGCATTTTCTTTTTTAAGGTTACAGTTTCTAAAGGCAAAGCAAGACTCGCTCTGCTCTGTTGTAGCTGGTTTTGCCATCTTTAAAATCATGCAGGAGTTTCAATTTTACATGCCATTATCAACTTTGCATAGCAACACAACAGGTTGGGTTCCTCCCCCCCCTTTTTAAATAATAATCCCATGTTCCTCCTTTTTCAACGCCTACCATCTTTCAGAGGGTTACCTCTCACTCTATGGGAGGAGCCCTAACTATTTCTCCTCCCATACGAACATTGCAGAATGAGAATTTCAAGTTATTCTTAAGTTTTCTTCAAGTCTACGTTGTGCTACTTAGAAGCAACTGTAGTGGAATAATGTTTTTCCTAACATTAAAGGACATTTATCAGATTATATGTCTTTTTCTAGTCTTGAGTTACAAGAATACTTGTCACACGTGTTCCCTCATGTTCCTCTCTTAAGGTGCACAGTGATCAGGTTGAACAACGTCCAGCCCATAAGACCATAGCCGGATCTCTGGGATAAGCCAGAGAGAACGAGGGGTTTCTTAGTACTACTGTATTTACATTCAGAATTCAAGGACAGGCTGAAGGATGCCCAGCTTTTTTGTTTATTTATTTGGGTTTGCAGGTTTTTAGTTTGTTTGTTTGAAGACAGAACTGCTTAAAAAATACTCCATTTCTACCACCATTTTTTATGTCATTAAAGTCACTTCTTTTCTGCCCTATGCAGCTGTTACCTTTCTGTCACTGATGTTTAATAGTTGCCATTGCACACTTCTTTTTCCTTCCCTAGCTCCAGTGGGAGAGCACTGGCCCCAGACCCATCACGAACAGACCACCTTCACCACTGCCGCCAGGTGGCACAGGAAAACCTGGGACCCTAAAGAGGGCACGTATTTGGAATATTTAGTAGGGTCTGACACATGTATTGACAACATGAGACAAAAATGAATGTAAGTGAGTGTATTGGGTTGAGAACAATTAGTCTGAGTGATAAATACATCCACCCCGGCTCCCAGCTTCACTAAGAGCTATTCTGAACTGCATAGTAAGTGCTGGTTGTAGAAGCTTAGGCAGATTGGAGATAGCTCACCAGTTACTCATTGAGTCTAAGTTTAAAAAAAAAAAAACAATAATGGAGGAAAAAAAAATGTGCTTTGCCATTTGAGCAACTCTGATCTCACAGCCTGGGCACAGCAGAAGTAGTTATCTGGTGTAACAGATCAATTGAAACTGAACTGCTGTTTCATTCAAATTACATACGCATGCGAAGTTAAACAAGTGTGTTAACTAAGGATAAGCAGCATAGAAATCAAGTCTAAGTTACCCATTATTTAGCATACATTTGTCAGACTGCCAGACATATCTTTTCCTTTCAGATTCATATCTGTCATACAAAGCATAGTAGATGGAGAAGTCACAAAAATAACACTTAATTCTACGTATCATAGGGCTTTAGTGCCAATGCATTGTGTGCCAGCAGCCTTCCAAGTTTACCAGGCTTTTGGGAGAAAACAGCTGCTTTCTCAAACCGTGAAAATAGAAAACGTACAACCCATCCCGCTCAGAACAGAAAGGAAATGGTTTTACAAAGTTGTGGACAGATGCGTAACTACTTCCCCCTCGGTCCTGGGACAGAAAGGGCAGCACAACTGCAGAGCCAGAGCTTGATTCTTGAAAAGCAAACAAAATCCAGGAAATGCGATGACTGTGTAGACAAAAATCTGTTTGGAAGGCCATGCTATCAAAGAGGTGAGTCAATGTGCTGCGCACCAAAGTGATGAACCGTACATTGATGGCCCCATGTGGGACAGACCATAAGATGACACTCTACAAAAATCCAGTTTAATTTCACATTTCCAATATCTCTCCTTGCCCATTAGCAGTCTGCCACAGATTTTAAACTTGTAAAGCTCCTTCCCAATGAGCTAGATTTCCCCCCCTGCCCCCTAAAGTGCAAATAAGACTCAGGTTTTTACCACTAGTTCCAATGATCGTTATCTTGGTTACAAGAGTGATCAAAAGCCAGTTGGCTGAGCCACTACCACCAGGCTTAGTGATACTCTTTCTCTCTCTCTCTCTCTTTTTTTTTTTTTTTTTTTTTTTTTTTTTAAACCCTGGTTATTTGTTCCAGCAAAAGGCAAATAGAAAACAAGTGTTCCTTCTGCCAGATGCAGGCATGACAGGAGGCTGCCTTAAGTACCATTGATACAAGATGCACATGCTAGACACAACCAGCGCGTTCTTGTGCATAACAAGAATTTGCCCTTGTTTGCTGGAAATAGAAGTCATCTTTGGGATCTTATTTCCTCACACAGAGTTCAGGAACAGTTGATTAATCTTCATTAAGAGGTGCTTCTCTCTTCCTTGCATCTACACGGAAAAGATGAAAAGAGGAGAGGCAGTTAAGCAAGAGGGTTCTCACACCATGCATCTGAAAACTTAGAAACAGAATAAAGCTGGTTTGTTTTCAATGGACAGTACTTTCCATTTCAGACTCATTACATGAATTTGCCACGTGGACTGAAATGCTGTATGAATCCGCAGCATGGTAAAGAGATAGTCATAGTAAGGTTTTGTACGTTTGCCCCGTTGAGACTGAAGATGACTCACGCAGTATTTAAGTAGCCCAGAAAACTTTCAGATCTGTGATCCTTTTCCCCCCACTTTTGGTCCCTTGCTCATGACCCCATTTAAGGGTGAAGCCAGTATTTGCATTGCATACCGGCTACAGAGATGACAACAGTCTGTTCTGAAATACCTTTGACTAATTACAACTTTGCTGGTCCCCAGCTGCACAGGACACATTTTTTAAAAAAAATAATGCTCTCCACACTATGTTTTGAGGAACTGCCTGACAGTCCCTGAAGACCCAATCTTAAACTTCTCCAAACAGCAAACCTTTGAGCATGGGCCCAGGTAGGGTGTCGGAGCACTTCTGGACAACTCAGTCCATTACTCCTATGCCATCACTACAGTAGCAGGCGGTGCGGCTGCTGTTAGGAAAGCTGGGGTCACCTCTTCCCAGGCTTCTGCAGAAGTGTCCCTGGGCTGACTTTAAGCAATCTGTGAGACCCAGTCGAATGTAGTGGTGCTTTTGAAGTGCACCACAATCACAGCTACTCTAGCAACTGCTTGCCAAAAGATGCACTTACTTATATTTCTAAATTTAGTTTCTTTCCAACTCATGATCTATACATTCCAAGGTCATTATGAATATCCCCACTCAGAAATCACTTGTAAATTAAAGACAAATCCCTTTTGCATTACTGCAGGCCCCAACTGCCCTTCATTAACATAGAAGACAGGCTCTGTTCGACCAAAACATTTAGAGAACATGATTATGAAACTGTGCAAGTCTCATGACTTTGTGCTAAACAAAGTTGGGAGGAGACAAAATATGCTTCCCAAATAACAAAAGAAGAACTTGGAGACTCCCAGTGACTGGAACAGCCACCGGGGGTGGGACAAAATCTCAGCAGCCATTTGGGACAGAAATCAGAAACTGCCTCTCCTGTGTTCCCCATTCCGCTTCACCAGGGATACTGCGGCCAGACCTGAATCATCTTCCATCACAACTTCTCCACTTCACATAAAACAACTGCCTAGTGATTAGAGATGAAAGAGCTTTCTAAAAATTAATGTCATACCCATCTAGCTACAAAGTTATTCCCAGTCTGGCTCTGACTTTGGAAATATCAAAATGCATTAAATTCTTTCTGGTGAACACTTATAAAAGAATCATACCGGTTAAATTCCTGAACTTTTTTTTGGCTTCTGCTCTTTCTTCGGCATCAAAATACCACACAGTCATGGCATATCTATAAAAGAAAGAAAAACTTGTGTTTGTTTCAACTTTTGCTATTAAAATAGACCGTTGGAGTTTTATGTTCATGAAGAAAGCAAACAACAAAACTGGATTCGTAGACAAAAAAATAGGATGCAAATGGCACATCTTTGTAGACAAACATAGATGGAATTTTAAATGTGTATTTTATTAAGTGGGTTAGGTGAGAATTTCTGCTTGGAGGCACAAAAGAGTTCACAGCCCCTGGCAGAGGGCAAGAGTAGCTTACAGACCTTTGCATGTTTTTTTCTGTTCTGGGATGCCTGCAGGCAGCTTGGGGGCTGCCCTTCATCACATCAGCTTTTCGTAGCCTGTTGACAGATGGTAGCCCCAAGAATCCCTATAGTGCTACGAGGGCAAAAGTATAACCCAGCATCTCCCAGCTAAATATCTATGCCTGGGTTGGAAGATTTCTCCTGTCAATGGTTAAAAGGTTGGGTTTTTTCCATCACACAAGGATTCTTATCAATCAAGCTTGTTCTTCCTCATCCACTGAGAAAATTCCCAGTGACTCAAAAACATAAGATCCACTCAAAATCCAGCCATGTATTTCTTATGCACACGTTGTATTTAAACAAATAGATGATGGCCATAATTTTAGATACAAATATTGGTAGAAGAGATGCTTTGCTTTTTCCTGGCCAAGTATCAACACCAAATATGCTACTTACCTGGTTGCATAAGAAGGCTGGACTTCATGTGGATTCCTTCGATCTGACCAAAAAAACAGTAAACGGTCAAAAATCGGCTCAACATCTGCTACATAGGACTTTCCTTCTGGGAATATCCGAAGAATTCCACCATGCAGCTGAAAGAAAAGGAAAGGTTGTTTTTTTACACACATAAACACCCACACATTCATGCCAACAATGACTTATTTCTCCCTCCTCAGCACCCAACAAATAGGCAATAAACATCTAATGATAACCAAGACAGCTACATGACAACACTGGAAAACCATACACTGAATCTCTTGGCCACCTTGATTTTCCCAAACAGTTTGTAATGTTTCAGCATAAACATCTGGGTAAAGTAAACGAACCAAGATAAAGACAACACTGGCCCTGTAACAAACACTGGGAAAATTCTGAGCTCCCAGTCACATCTCTGGAACCAGTGAATACAAGGCAGGTAAGGGTGCTCCACCTGACCAGTCTGAGATCAGACTCTCCTCCCAGCAATTGCTAGGTACTGCTTCTGGTATTTCAGAAGCTGCATCTGATCATATAGGAGTTAACTTTTACACCCTGGAGAAGAGCAAAGTCTGTTCTGTTGTGGGATTTATAATAAGCTTCCCATAAATGCATTATCTCTCCCAGACGGTCTTTTCCCTACTCGTGACATAGCCTGGTTTCTCTGTGACATCATTTCTCTCTTTCCATGTGCCAGGAGTTTCAGGGAAAAAGTCTGGTGACCTGCATGCACTGTGGAAAAGATGCAGATTGAACCCTGCCTCCTCCCTGCTGCTGTCAGAGGGCTCATTGAAGGCTTTTAAGCTGCACCACAGAGTGCAGTGAAGATGCTGTCAACCCAGCACTGACCTGACTTCGTACCTCCACGTGGCATGTAAACTTCAGTAAGAAACTAATAGGTCAGGTTTAAAGCAACATGGCTGATTTCAAAGGCCAGCATGGTTATACTGCATCTCCTCCAGCATACATTTGCATAAAACTACCATCACACCCACATAATACTCTCCACCAGCATCCTGGACTTCAGTTAGCTTTCTTAGTGTCCACTTGGGTGCTTCCTCACTATCAGAATAAGAGTGCAGTGCACAAAATAAATTGGATATTTCCATTTCCTCCCACATCTCCTCCTTCATTTTATCAGATTGAGATATCTCATTGTCATACTCTCCATAAACAAATGTGTTTTTCTCCAACAGTGCATTTTTCAGTGGCATTGCCTCTAAATCTGAACTTGCTTTTGGGGGTTCACAGTATTTATGTGTGCTTAAAGAGCATCCACCTGAAATGGCCAAAACAAGTTAGAGAGACAAAAAAGATTAGGTAATTTTCAATAGATAAACCACATGAACGGTTTTTGCCTCATTATGACAATAGAAGGGTAAACAAACGTCCTGCAATTTTGTAAACCCTTATTTTGTTTCTAACTTAAAGGTATTCAGGGGTGACTTTATTGCCTTATAGTAATAGAAGCAGAAACAAGAGCACCATCCTGGCAAGAGACCCACTGGTCGAATCAAAGACGGAGAGGACAAACCAAGCCATGTGCTCGTTCCTCTTACTAAGCCCCATCACTTCACAAGTAAGAAAACCCCAAAGGCAACTGCCTGGAGATCTTCTGCAGGTTAGCCTGAAGGAACAGTATTAAGAATACTAGAGTCCCAAATCTGGGCTGTCATTTTATTCTGTTCCCAGAATCCACTTATTCCTTAGTGGATTACGGGTTTTTTTCCTCCTAGTGCTTCATTGCTCTTTCCTCTAAACAAAGCGTAAGAGCCAGCAGCCCAGTGCTTAGAAGCTTTATTCTATAGCAACAAAACAGTATGTGTGTGGGATAGGAGAGAGAATAAGGAAACCGTTCAGATTCTTGCTTCCAAAGGGTTGCCATAAACACCAAGAAAATAAATGTAGAGATTAAGAATGGACCAGCTGTTCAAAAGTTCACCAGAGTTCACAGAAGCAACTGACAGCTCCAAAGCTCTGTTTAAGTTGTTTTTCCTTCATGTTCTGCCTCAGCCCCGTGGCTTACTCACCTTGGAGTCCCAGTTCTTATTCAAGTAATAAATACAGGTGATGCAGCGCCCGTCGCCATTCGGATTGTCCACATGACGAACATACCCAGTTCCATTTCCAGGATAGCAAGCAATCATAGCCTGAATGAAAGATAAAGACTGTTAAAAAAGAAAAAAAAGAAAAATTCTACAAGATGTCCACCTTCCATTTGAGTTTGCTAAGCATCCTCCCACCACCAGTTTCGCTCAGCATTTTTCAGATGATCAATCCAAAACCTACAGCAGACACCACCAGAAGGTATGTTAGCACAAGCTTCTTTCACTGAGAGAGTCAGTGTGAAATTCCAAACTGGAAATAAGTACCCTTTGTATTTCACAATATATACACCAAAGTAGGAGGAAAAAAACCAACTACCTGAATTAAACTAAAACACTGGTATGTATGCTACAAGCTTCTTGTTCTCTACAAGCTACGTGACTTTGAAGCAGTTTCAGCTAAAGTTTGCTTGGGTTTCTAAAGCTGAGCAGTCATTGCAAAACTGATTTGCCAGTCATAATGAAAGTAGAAAGCAATCCCAGGATGTCGTGCCTTACTACCACCGTTCTCCTCTATTCGTATCTTCCAGTTCCTGTCATATACATCCCTACGGTCCAACACAAAGTGAGGGTCCCCAGAAGGTGTGGGTAAAAGTCCGTTGAGCAAAGTCTGCAAAAATCTGCAACTCCTTTGTGCTGTGTTTGCACAGGGCAGTGCATATTTGCTTTCATGGACTGAGCCACAGAACTAACCAAACAGCTTTCAGAAGCATACTTCTCTCTTTGATCATCTCCAGACTTGCTGATACGATCGCTTAATTCACAGTTCCTTTAAATTTCACCTTGAATGATGAGATAAGCCTAACATAAATTACTGCAAACCACATGACAGTCAACAGGTCTTAAAAGGGTTTTTACAGCAGATATGTATAAAATTTGAGTTGACACCATTAGCAGCCTAAGCAGGATGCAGGGAAGAGCAGGTGAGACTGCTGGTAGGGTACCATACCTTTGTCTCAGAGTCACTTCTATTGGGACTACTTGGTAGTAATACCTGTCACTTTCTATGGAATTTACTCCTCTAAAGCTGTGGCAATAGGAGTCCTCTTCCCACTCCTGACATCTCCTTTCATTGCTTGCCAGTATTAGCAGTAAGAGTGATGGGAGATGATGGGCTAAGTTCAGCTGGAAAACTGGACACAGTATCCAAATCTGCTCTCCCCAGAGCTGAGGAGAAGGCAACAATCACTCCTCAATCTACTGGCTGTGCTCCTTTTCCTGCTGCCCTGGATGCTGTCCTGCACACTGCAGGCTCATGGTCAGCTCACCGCCCACTGAGACCATCATGGTCCCTAGGCTCCCCTCAGGAGCAGAGCTGCTCCCCAGCCTGGCAGCCCCCAGCCTGTACTGCTGCAAGGGGCTCTTCCTACCCAGGGGCTGGACTTCGCACTCATCCATTTCTTAATGTCACAGAGGTTGCCATTGGCCTGTTTCTCCAGTCCATCTGCACCCCTTTAGGTGGCAGCCCTGCCCTCGAGTGCATCAACTGGTCCCCGTCAGTTTGGTGTCATCTCCACACTTGATGAGAGTGCACTCTGCTATCTGCTTCGGGTCACTGATAAAGGTAGTTAACAGGTCAGGTTCTGCGATAGACCCTCATGGTGCTCCATTTGTTATCAGCTTCTAGGTGTAATACAACTGATTAACCACTGCCCTCCACGTCCAACCATCCAACCAGTTTTTTTACGCACCTAGTTTTCCATCCATCCAGACCATAACATCCTAAATGGGCATACAGGAGTATTGTACGTGCCTGTCCCACAGAATGAGGATGTGATTGCACACCATTTGCGTGACCTGTCCCCAGTAACCTGCCAAGCACAGCTGATAACACTGAAGATTGACAGTATAGGCTTTACCAAGAGCAATTGAAATTTTTTATCTAGGAACCCCAGAGGTCTTGTTTTCCGCTTCTTAGCACATGCTGAAGCTGTGCTGTCCTCATGGGAAACATGACCAGCTAAAGTACAGCACATGCTACTTTAATCACAACAGTAATTTTACTGTGCCAACAAATGCTGGCACAGAAGGTACCACCAGGCAGCACAAGGGGTCCCCTGGGCACTCTGCTTCCAAGAACAAAAAGTCTGTTCACAGGAGTGGGCCAGTTAGGATGGGTGTACATAAACACCTGTGAAAATACTGCTCTGCATTTCAAGTCATGTATGAACCGACTTTCCCTCCTCCCCACAAGCACCAGCAGAACGGTACCTGCAGGCAGCAGTAAGCCACCAGAGCCCGCTCCTCGCCCCGACACCTCAGGCCACAGCTGCTTTTGGGCTGGTGGCCCTGCCGGGGCAGGAGATTATGCCAAACAAGAGCGAGTGCCTTTAATTCCCAGTAATAAGCCCTCTTCCATCATGCCTGGCAGCTGGCTAGGTGCCTCGCCATAGGTCCTGCCCGCTCGGTTGTCATTCTGCCATTACACACAGCTCCGCAGCTGAACTTACATTTCGCTTTTAGCCTAACAACAGCAGTGAGGGCCAGCCTACAGCTTCACGCTGGAAACAAGCTGGGCTTAGGGGCACAAGGCTGGTGGAAACCACACATAACTGCAGTGTAGGAATGGTCCGAGAAAGTTGTACCCTCCTTGGGAGGATAACCCCCCTCACACAGCCCCACCCATCCCAGATGTGCGCACAGCAGCTCAGGCGGGTGCACACCTCACCCACCCCACGCACAGCGAGATGGATCAGGTCGCACAATTAAGAGCCGTTTAGATGTGGTGTTGGGGGATATGGTGTATGGGAGAACTTTGTAGAGTAGGGTAGATGGTTGGACTCGATGATCCCAAGGGTCTCTTCCAACCTAGACAATTCTATGATTCTAAGATAGTAACCCTTTGCGAGGGAGA